GGGAATCCTAATTTTTGGGAATCCCGAAATAGTTTCGGGATTTCGGGACAAATCGGGAATCCCGAAATGGTTTTGGGCTTTTGGGCTTTTGGACTAAAATTTGACATATTATGCTTTTGAGCTCAATTTACCAATTTGTTTCTACTAATCTGACAATCAAATGGCAAGGCATGTTTGTACTAATTTGTGCACAAATTTGAGTCCGTGTACACCAATAAGTAAAAATGGATTTAATAATGGATGGAAGGAAAAAGAAAGTCTGTGTACACCAGTAAGTACAATTGTAGCATAAAAAATAATACGTCAGCTTAAATTTCTATATAGCACATGAATCTTTCATCTCAATGCATATGTGAACCATCCAGATGAAGAATTATTAAGGAGGGGCAAGGTATCAAATAATCAAATAATCAAATTTATATTCAATGGTTGAGATTAAATCTCAACAGAATCCGACAGCTATTAAAAATCTAAATATATATTTAAAAATTAAACAATATATATATATATAATTTTTTTTGGTTCGGTTTGGGAATACCGAAATCCCAAAAACTTGAGACCGATTCCCGTACCGAAATTTCGGGATCGGTTTGGTATTAAGTACCGAAATTTTCGGGAATTTCGGTTTGGGATTTTTTCGGTTTGGTTTCGGGAATTTTTTGGTTCGGTTTGGGATTTTTGGGATTTTTTTTCCAGTCCTAAGTACAGGTAGGGCACGATCTACCAGAGTAGGATTCTCTTTTATTTTTCTCTCCTTCTATTTGAACAGTTACAATTAAATTACGTCAACATTTTATATTAATATTTTTATAAAGAAAAAAGGAAAAATAAAAAGTATAAGAAGAAGTGTGATAAAAAAAAAAATTTAAAAAATAAAAAAAGAAAGAAAAAAGGTATAAGAAGAGGGGAGGAAAAGAGAGGAGGATACAAGGAGAGATAATCCTGCTTTCGATCTACCGTATCTAAGTGGGACCGCGCATCCTTCGGTCAGCTTCGTAAAAGAAAACAAATATGGCACATGAAGAAGTGAATAGGGTTGCAGGGCAGCATATGTTTCTTCTGCGGTTTGTGGGCACAGTGGCAATATTCACATGCAGCCACACATTTCACACGTCCCAGATCACAAAGGAGATGGGATCGCGCATATCAAGGCTTCCCTCGTGGGGTATCCTCTGTGCTGTGACATGTGTGACGGTGCATGTCTCATCGACCTCGTGAACAATTAAATGATTCTCTAGTTTTCATCCTCCCTTGTTAAAAACATTATAGACTTAGAGGAGATGGATTGTCTGTCCACTCATTTTCATATTTTCTTCATGTTTTTTTGTGATATGTGATTACCGTTAAGATACGTGAATATTTTATATTAATTTTTTATAGAAATAATAAATTAAAAAGTAATAGGAATATAAAATGTTAACGTAGCTTAACCGTGACTACACAAATAGGAAGGTATGGAGAGAGTATGGAAATGGAATGGCAGACAATCCACCTCTTGTAGACTTAGGCAATTTTTTATACAATTCATTAACACGATACAACGATACGATAATAACGGATTTAGGTCAACACGATAATTAATTGGGTTTTTATCGGATCACACAATAAGAACTTATTAATAACGGATTCTTAACAGGTTTACATGACACACCCCGACCCAGAGGATCAAGGCGTGCTGGCCGTCACGTGAGCGTGACGTAACCAAGAGTGCGACACGGAAGCAAGATATAACAGAAAATGAAGGAATTCAAATCAATCTCTAGTAGAACCACCTACTAGAATAAAAGGATGAGTTATAAGGTAAACACATAAATTCAGAGCATAGGTTTAACTGCAGTCAAGTAGGACCAAAATAAAATACATCACCCGCAGGTGAGTCCTACATGCAGAACGTCTGTCAGAATGCTGAAAAAGACCTCGAGAGCCACCAACCGCTAACTAGAACCTGGAGGGGCGCAAAACAAAGATGAGTGGGTCAGTAAAATCAAAGATTTTCCAAAACATTTCATTTAAAACATTTCTAACCCCTCACCGTAAAACCTGTATACTTTCCCAGAAAAATAGTTTATAAACATATATATACACATATCATCAAAACTCAGCTCATATCCATCAACATAACATATCAGAAACAATATGCCACGCCATGCCAAATATAATTAGAAATGCATCAATATTAATCAGGTGAAATAATAAATCAACCGGAGACCCTACAATGGTCTTGTACGGCTGATTCTAAAGCTCAACATCCCACTCAGCCGGAGTCACCACAGTGACCTCTACGGCCCTGCCGGAGTCACCAACTGTGACCTGTACGGCACTACACTGCACATCACTCGGAACTACGTATAGTAGTCTGTACGATGAAAGGTGTATAAATACGCTCTAGTGCTTCTCTCATCAATCATCAGCGCGCATAACTAAGGTCACCCACTAGTCGGAATCACATCTAGTGATCTATACGACTAGCATGTTGGAACCCTCACATAGTCTGTACGACATCCACCTACTTGGATCCAAGACGAGCGTGCGGTGTGATGAATAATAATATAAGCACTAACACCTAGGGTGCAGGTTATGAGCTTTCAATGCAATTCTCATAAAATAACTCATCTGAATAATATAAAAACTCACATGTGCGTCCACCGCGTCAATTAACATATATATGCATCGATTATCAAACTAAATATCTCAACATTTGCATGCATGGCAATTTAAATCATATTTTCATATAAATGCATTTTCTGGGAAAAATAGTAGTATATAGGTAATACGAAAACAAACTGCCCACTCACTGATAAGTCGATGGGTCGTAACCCCCGTGACGTCCCTGGATGCGCTCGTCCCCGGGATAAGTGTCACCTATATGCGAAACAACTATAAAAACGTTAATTTAAACACATAACCAACAATTCAAAATAACTTCTCATACGATGCTCAAATTGGGTATATGAATATACCACATCGACCTACTCGACGTCACGGACGTCGAGTAATTTTTAGAAAAATTTTGGAGACCGCACGCGCCCCCACGCGCTAGGACAGGCACGGGGACACGCGCCCCCACGCGCACCATCGTCAACCTCGGGCTCACCGGACTGGTTTTTCTGGCGGCCGATTTCCGGCCAAACTTGTAACTTCTTGTTCTCCTTCGTTTCTCAACCGTTTTCTTCAAATTTTATATCAAACTGAAGCCCCAACCATGAAGAATCACGATGGACTAGTTTTAGGGTCTAAAATTCACTATATTTTACCTGGGGAAGCACGATAGTTCGGGAAACTTTGAGGACTTCGTTCTCGGTCCTCCGACGTCCAATTATCACCAACGAAGCACTTCGAGGCTCGTGAGGATGTCCTTAAGCTCACTGTGAGCTTGAAATTCCCTGAAACGTAAGATTTTTACGTGTGCATGAAAAGTGCACAATTTTGGGGTTAGGGTTTCCCGACGATCCCGAGGGTTTCACTTCCTAAAACTAGTACCAATCAACTCAGAACATCAAGAGGGTGAAGATTCATACCTTATTTGCTTCGATCCACGAAGTTTTGGAGGGATTTAGTTGTTGCCGTACGTTTATGGTAAGAGAGAGCAGGGAATCGTGAGGGAGGAGAGAGAGAGCTACGGGAAGGGAGAGAGAGCAGGGAGTGTTGACTGTGTGGTCCAACCAAACATACACACTAAGTTTAATCCCTAACCACACAAAAATACATTCCAAATAAATCCAACTTAAATTATTTTCTCCAAAAGTTTAGGAACCATGAAAAATTCAAAACATATCACACACATACCTTAGTAATGTCAAGGGTAGTATCGTCATTTCACGCTCCCGATATAAAAATCTCGGGACGGGCTATGACATTACACGAGAGTGACACGCAAGTAACCCGTTTCAACACGTTAAGAAAAAAGTTATTTTGATGATTTTAATTTTTTTAACTACTAAAAAACTTACTATAAAATTCAATAGCCATAGTGTCTATGTGTGTGTATATATATTGTATTATTGTTCTATATAAATTTTTAAAATTTGAGTCTTATTTATTTATATATTTTTAAAGTATACAATAGGCAAAGAATGAGATTAAAAAATTATAACACACATTAAAAATAAAAATATCAAATAATTTAAAATTTTAAAAATACTAAATGCATTCAAAAAATTATAATAATTAATTTACAAGTGTCAAAATTGTAAATACGAACGCTCGTAATCACATCCTCTATGGTTTGAGGATGGGTCTATCATCCTTTGAACTTTGAAACCCATACAAACCCTCATGAAACGCAACTCCCTTAATTTCGCATATTCTTGAACATTTGATATTTTGTAGTAATATATTAATGTTTTTTCATTAGGCTCTTATTTTAGAGTGTGTAATACTTAAAAGGGAAATTTTTTATTTATTTATTTTTGAAGTAATATTTATGTGATAATGTGGTATGCATACACTAACTTGGCATTATGGTTTCCATTATTTTTGGGTCAAATTATGTTTTTTATTTTCATTATTTATTTATTTAAAATATATTTTCTTTAACAGGTAGGCTGAGTCATATTACCTGCTAATATTAACAGGTCAATTTCAGGTCAGTCATATTATCCGTTTACTTTAACGGGTATTATACGATACAACCTGTTAAGATATCGAGTATGTCACACAAAAGACATGAATAAGAAAACTACGACACAAATGCCATGATTTTCAAACCACATGTTGTTTGATATTTACCATAAAAATACGGATCAATTTTAAAAGTTATAATAACTTTAATCGTTGAATTAAATTTTAAAAGTCTGAATTATTTGATGAGGAAGATTAGTTGAAATAGATTCGTAGGATTCCTTTCCCTCATATTTCACATCGGGACTAATAGATAAATCCTAACCATCCCATGCATTGTGGGCGACACATGCATTGAGTACGGAAACTGCCGCCCTGCCACGTTCATTAGGATAGCACTTGGCAACCTTTTCACCACTATAAAACTGCAGGCAAGAAGAAAAGGTCTCATAGCCAAAAGCATCCCAATTTTCTCAGATTTGTGTCTGATTAGAGAAAGTTAAGAGAGACAGAAAAGGAGATTATGGGTTTAACTAAGCCACATGCAGTTTTCATACCATTTCCAGCACAAGGTCACATAAACCCCATGCAGCAATTAGCTAAACTCCTCCACTACAAAGGCTTTCACATAACATTTGTCAACACAGAAGTCACTCACAAGCGCCTTATTAATTCCCTAGGTGCCAACTCTCTCGACGGCCTTCCCACCTTCCGATTCGAGACCATTCCTGACGGCCTCCCGGCAAGTCATCCCCGGGACGTGCCATCACTCTGCGTTTCCACTAACAAAACCGGATTGGCGCCATTTAGAGAGCTTGTGAAAAAGCTCAACTCTTCACCCAATTCACCACCTGTGACTTGTATAATTGCTGATGGTGTCATGACCTTCACTCTTGATGCTGCCCATGAATTGGGAATTCCTGAAGTGCTTTTCTGGACGACAAGTGCTTGTGGCTTCTTGGCCTACGCTCAGTATCACAGACTCATTGAAGAGGGTCTCACCCCTCTTAAAGGTATACTACTACTCAAATCAATCTGACGTTGCAAAAAGTTTGATGTTTTCGTTGAAAACTACAAACTAAAAACTGAAATGATTATCAAACGGTGACAATGTTTTTCAAATAGAATGTTAACTCATCAGTGATATTTCTTGATTTGACCTTGCAGATGAAAGTCATTTCACAAACGGATATTTAGATACCATGGTAGATTGGTTGCCGGGCATGAAAGACATCCGTTTGAAGGACATGCCGAGCTTCATTAGAACCACAGACCCAAATGATGTCATGTTGGAGTTTATGGTGGGTGAGACAGAACGGACCAAAAAAGCTTCAGCTGTGGTTTTGAACACATTTAAGTCCCTTGAGCAGGAAGCTTTGGATGCAATTTCTAGTTTGTTTCCACCAACTTACTCCGTCGGACCCCTAAACCTACTATTCAGTCAGATTCCGGAAGACAACGAGTTGAAGGCAATTGCGTCGAGCCTATGGACAGAAGACACAGCGTGTCTCGACTGGCTCGACACCAAAGAACCTAACTCAGTGGTTTATGTGAATTTTGGAAGCACCACAGTCATGACAAATGAGCAGCTAGTTGAGTTCTCTTGGGGACTTGCAAATAGCAACAAGACATTTTTGTGGATCATTAGGCCTGGCCTTGTTGCTGGAGACACAGCTGTGGTTCCTCCGTTGTTTTTGGAAGAGACCGAGGGAAGAGGTAAGTTGGCAAGTTGGTGCCCTCAGGAACAAGTTCTGACGCACCCTGCCATCGGGGGGTTTTTGACGCACAGCGGATGGAACTCTACCCTTGAGAGTTTGTGCGGCGGAGTGCCGATGATCTGCTGGCCTTTCTTTGCGGAGCAGCAGACCAACTGTAGGTACGCATGCGAACACTGGGGAATAGGCATTGAGATAGAGGATGAGGTGAAAAGAGATTACATTGAAGGTCTCGTGAGAAGATTGATGGAGGGAAAAGAGGGCAAAGAGATGAGGAAGAACGCTTTGGGATGGAAGAAGAAGATAGAGGAGGTCACTAGCCGTAAGGGGTCATCTGTTTTGGATTTGGACAACCTCATTAACCAGGTCCTAATTGCTCCTTGAAATATGGATTTCATTAGAATATCCATATATCTTATATTTTTTTGGTTGAAACCGTATATCTTATCTTTGGTAAAAATAATGTTTGTCATTCTTTTTAACAAATAAAATGAGTGCTTGATCAGCAGTTTCGTCACAATGTGGCAATGTAATTGCTGATCAATCTACCTTATAAATAATGGGGCACTCTATGTTGTATTGCTGGAATTTTTCTGAGGTGATAATGCAGCCAAACATTATTCTTTTCATTATTTTACTCTTTAGTGCGTAATCTTTCACATATTTACGGATATTGAGGATCCTCATTGAATATACTAGATCCATACTTATTCACATTTTACTTTAAGAGTATTGAAAGACGGAAAATCAAATTACTTAATTATATTCACCTGCAACCATAGGTTTATATTTTTGTTATTTTTTTGACAAATAATTATTAGAAATCCGTGAAAATCAAAGCTTTAACCAAAAAAGGTTCAAAATATTCTATTTAGTCTCAAGTGCGAAATGAGTCTTATAAGAAATCATATCTCTCAATAATGTAGTTTCTCCCGTATTTCAGGCAATTGTATTTGTGTAGCTCATCGTCGAGCCAAGCTAGATTTATCTAGTAGTAGCTCTAAAATTTGGTTTGAAGATCTTCTTTTCTTTTTTTTTTAAATTTTTAAATTTTTAAATTTACTATAATTACGGGAGGGGGATTTCGAAACTATTACAATACTTTAAAGGAAATGGGAGTTTCAAATCCGAAATCTATAAATAGAAACTCAACAATCTGTTCATTAGGATATTGAACCACACGCAATTTGAGGATATCCTTGATGTTATAAGGAATGTCTCATCCAAGATTCAAATTGTACATAATTCCACTTGATAGAAGAGTTTTTCTAGTTACACCACAGGTCCACAACACACATCTAGTTCACCCGACACGTTTTTTTTTTTTTTTTTTTTTTTTTTTTTTTTTTTTTTCGTTTTTTCACTTTTATGTGTAAAAGCCAATTCTACCCTTACTTGATAAATTGAAAAGAACAAAGCTTGGTTGCTTTATATATAATAGGAAGTCTGGCTAAATTGCCCATGTGGCTACTCACGAGTTTAAAACCTGTACAGTACTTTTTTTCTTTTTCTTTTTTTTTTCTAAAAAATTTATACAATATATGCAGCCGCATGGGCTATTAGCAGCACTTCTTGCTCGACAACCAAGCTTTGATCAACTGAAAAACTAAATAGTACGTATTTTTTGTTTTTACAATAAGCAACAAAGTGATATTTCATTGAACTTCACAAACAATTATAGAGGTTGCCAATCGAGTACATAAGCTCCAATGACCAAGAAATTGATCTGGACTAATTTGGGCAATGAAACACATTACAGTAAACCCATATATGGCTACCACAAGCACTCCATGCCCTACAAACGTCACAAGTACAAATGTGTCTAAAAAACATGATTGACGCAACAGATCTACAATAGCGACCACATAGGTCATCGAACAAGTGTGAGGCCACATAAAGTCATCATTGAAAGAGGAGACCACAAACTCATCGCTTAAAGCAAAGACAACATCAAACCACCGCCACCATACGAGCAGAGCGAGGCAACAAAATCAACTACACATTACTCTGAGAAAGGAACCACCGGTTAGTCCATCACAGCGATCGGGACACAAACCAGGGCCACACCTTCACCGCACTAGTGAGCTTCGCTGCATCCAAAAGTAGATCAGGTCGCACAAGTTCAAGATGTGGCTGCACAAGGGAGGAGTTACCAGATGTGGTTACACAATACAACGACACTTAATTGAACACCTAAGACAGCGAGTTCCCTAGATCTGAGCGAGCAAGGATGAGCAACCACCAAATCAGTTGAGGAAAGTGTCATTGCCACATAATTAAGCTGATGGAAGTGGAAAGCAACCCACCAGTAGCCACGAAACGCACCATAACCGTAAATCAAGCTCGAAATCAAGGAAAAGACCTTGAAACTGGCAAGGCTCAGATCTGGATAAAGGCACAAAGTCATGGACGCACTATTCACAAAATGGTGGGAAAGACCTGGGGGAGAAGGAAAGGTGACACGCCCGACCCCGATATCCTCCAAACACCAAGGTAGGCACGTGCTGGCCTACACCTGAATGTGACGAAGCCATACTTACATGCATGAGAACTATGAAGAAGGAATGAAGAGAAATAAAACTCGTAAATTTAACTATAATGAATATGCAATTGTGGAACATGTTTAAATGCATACAACTAAACCAGAACATTGAAGAAGGAATAATACACAAATGTACGAACAAAGGAATGGGTTTTACACTGAAAGGACTCGAAGTTACCAATGCGGGAGTTCGACGCCGGGATTGTACGCCTCGAGTCTAAGTCCTGAGGGGGTGCAAAACAAAACATGAGTGGACCAATTTATATATAAGTAGTAATAAAACAATTATTCTTCAACGTACTAACCCTCAAAAGTTATGAAAACTCAATAATATAATATGTAATAGGTTTTCCGAAAACCTTAGAATTCCATAAAACCTTCATAAAACATATATTATATATAGTGTGCTTGGTAGTGGTATCACAATTGCTCAAAGGCACTACATCTTCCGATCGAAGCCATATAAATATCTTTCGCTCGTAGGAACTACAACCCCCAGCCGAAGCCAATATAAGTATCTTTTGCCCGTAGGCATTACAACCTTCGACCGAAGCCAATATAAGTATCATTTGCCCTAGGCACATAGGATGAGTAATCACTAAGTAAGCACATAAAATCATGAACATAATCGTTCCAAAATATATCTCATCAGAGCTTAGTAGCTCAAACATCATATCATAAATCATATTTGTGAATATCTCAATAAACGTAAATCCAGTGAAGCATGATATTTCATAAAGTGTAAAACCAATTTATTCATAAACGTTTCATAAAACATAGCCATTAAATCATGCTATTAATATATGCATTTCTAATAGTAAAATCATACATTTTAGAAGGGATCCACTCACAAATACTCTGCTGTCGAAGAGAGCTGTGCAATTAGCGAAGACGGAAACGCCATAAACAAATGCACCTAAGCACATAAAGGGATCAATTAATAAAACTATACTAAAATGATTGAATTTGGGAAAACAAAAGTCGGATTTGGAATTAGGGCTTCGAATTACCCTAAGAAGGGTCCTGGGTAAATTTAGTAAAAGTCAACAAAAAATCAACACATAATATTTCGAAGAATATTCCTTGACGAAATATTCCCTGAATGAATATTCCCTAACAGAATATTCCATCCGGGTTGGATTCGGTTCGGATTTGGGTCGGGTCGAAATTGGGTTTGGGCTAGGTAGCTGGGTTGGGCTTGGCTAAAGGTTGGGCCGGGTTACTAGGACTGGCCTAGGTTAGTTAGGTCTGGGTTAAGTAATAGTGTTTCTTCGTAGTTTCGACAACCAAAACATGTAAAAAAGAGTTAGTCTTCAACCAGAGACGAGGGAAGGACGATTAAAAGGGTTAGAATCAACCAGAGACGAGGGAAGGACGATTAAAAGGGTTAGAACCTTACCCTCATGTCAGGAAGTCAAGGAACTTGTCGGAGATGGTGGCTCTGTCGCGGTGGTTGATAGGAGCATATTTATACGACTTAGTTAGCTTGTTTTCTTGCTTTTAATTAGCTAAACTATGATAATTATAGTGTTTAAAGTTATTTTCGTGCAATTTCAGGTTTTAGTGTCAAAGTATGCAAAAAAGAAGCAATTTGGAACATTCTAGAGCATTTTTGGGCCAAGATTGGATTGTGCAAGCATGGAGGCATGAGGATGGACGAATTTGAAGACAAAAGAGGCTATGAACATGCTAAAAATCTGGTGAAACAAATATAAGTTGCAAGAAGGGATAAATTTCTAGAAGGATTGACCAAAACTTCACTCAAAACCAAGAAATTCTTCAATGCCGTGGGCATTGATTCACTTTCACCAGAAATTTGAGTGATGATGCAATGCTTAAATCACCATGACATGTGAGTGGATGATGCAATGCTTAACTCACCATGACATGTGAATGGATGACTCAATACCTAACCCACCAACAATTCCCACTCTTTGCCATGCTCACCTACTCAATTCCACCAAAATTTTGTGTTAAACAAGTCCATCCTTTTCCTATAAATACCATGGCAGCAACCTCATTCAAATCATCCAGAAATTAACCATTCTCCAAGCCTTCCTTTGCCTCTCCCTACATATCTAAACCTTCCCCATCCATTCCTCCATATAACCAACCATTCAACCACCATAACCACCTTGTGCCGCCACCATTGAAGGAGAGGAGGAGTAGTGCCGTGCTTATGCAATCTGCAACTATTAGAGTGTTTGGAATTCTTTCTTCTTTTAATTCTATGTTCATGTTTAATTTAACTTGCTGTTCAATTATGTTAAACATGTGGAACTAATTTCTTTTTGGCTAGAGGTTAATTCAAAGCCATGAATATATTTGTAATATGAATTGATTACCTTCAGTTGTGATTTCTGAGTTGTGATTTAATTTGCTTAACTGCTTGATTGATAACTAATTTGTGTATGTCGATTAAGAGTGCACGCTTAATTTTCATGCATGAATTTGATGCTAGAATATAAGGGAGTTTCACCTAATCGTTATGAACTTATATTCACAAGTAGTGAAGGTTGTTATCCACAATCGTGTTAAGTGGATTCTAGGCTGGATTAACATGCGTATTCCATAGTTATGAATGCCTAGTCAATGTTTATGATTTCCGTTGAACTTAATGATCTTTGTTGAATGTCTCTATCATGCGTATTCCATAGTTAGGGATTTTGATGAGGAATAATTTGGTTGTAATGCGTATTCCATTCAATCCAATGAATCTAGGGAAATCTAAGAGTTAATTTAAGCGGACCTAATTAACTTGGAACATTGTCATTCACAATTTATTGAAAGAACAACTGAAAATCAATTTAGGTTGCATATGTGTCATGTGTGGAGAAAAACCTTCTAGCTAGTCCGTCACCTATCCTTTCACCTTAATTTCATGCTTTTGTCAATTCTGTAATTTATTTAAGTTTAATTTACTTCTCGTCAAAACCAAACCCCCCCATTATTAAATTATATTATTTAGTTAGTTTTCATTGTTGTTAGTATTTTAATTCAATTTCCGTCCATTTCAGTTCCTAGTGTCTAATTTGATTGTTTTCATTATTTTGAGTCATTCTAAGTGTGTTTCGAGTTATTAGAGTTTTT